TCTCTGTGTGCTTTCTACGTGATTTTGTCTATACACAGATCCACTATTGTTGGTTCCCATCCTTCAGGCTAAAGAAATATTCAGGTCCGTACACTAATCCCTGCCGAACCTTCTGATTTAACTTAATGTATTGTGGCAACACCAGAACGAAGGAAGACCTAGACCCTCTGTCATGTACGCCCCCTACACTACAGCGGGAGGTTAACACGGACCACAGAGGTGGAAGACGGATGCAGGTGGCAGCCGCTGTTGCGGATGACACATGGTTTAACACATCGCGGGCGAGAATCGTAACACAAAAGCATGAGACACAAGTCCTATTTGAGAGATCTGCTAGATAATTTTAGACGAGGTTTTGTCTCATTTGGCGGAATCAAGACGTGAGAGACACACAGCCATCGAGTGTATCTATAAATATCTGACAGAGACCCTCGTCGCAACATGACTGGGCTGAGCATAGCTTTGATGTTGGGAGATGACTACATTTATCAACCGTGTCTATAGCAACAATTTCCGTCGTTGCTCTGTATGTATCTGGTCTGTGATATGCGAGATGTAGTAACAGGCGATGCTATAAATTGCTCCGTCCCATCAGCATCTAAGTTGGGTCTCATGTATTTTGGCTGCCCAAAAGCAGTGATGGAACACATCGCTAGATTTCTGTAACTCCGATCCAGAACAGTAATGCGGTGACCATCCTGACTCCTTTTCTTGTGCAGGATGAGATACTGTATACGATCAGGTCTGGGGATCCGCCAAAGTATGTTAGCAAATTTGATGTGCTTTAAAGGGTATTTGGCAGATCCCCATTGATCCGAGCAGGGCACAGGAATAGGCATTTATCACAACACAATCTGGATTTATTCATAATACGGTAATGAACGTTGGTTAAAAATGCTCCTGCTTACATTCATACGTATTGATGATCGCGTGTGTCGGGTTTAGAGGGTTTGTATCGGTTATCTAGGACGATTGGTCATCTTGGCATGAACTTTGGATGCTCATGTTCAGCGCCTCGAGAGGAAATTGTTTCGAACCGGTCATGACGAGGCACATCTGCACTATTATATATTTGGCCAATGTGCCTTTGCAAAAGGCAACGTGACAATCTTGGCCATCACTGGTGGGTCAGGGTTTGGTGAGCTCCAGTATCTGGCCAAAGGTCAGAAGCAAAATATCTGAAATACCCACAGCCCACAACCAAAGGAATCTCCTAGCGAAGATTTTCTGGGATAATTGGTGGATGTTACTACAAGGAGGTTTCTTGTGGAATCATTTCTTACACTACAAGTGTTTCCTTTGACCTGAACTTTCTTAGGGCTAAGGTCAAATATACTTGGTCGGTCGAAAGCTGTCAGAGAGCTGTTATTGATAGGGTTAAAAGTCTCTATTGTTTTCCTCTCAGGGTTAGCCGGTGCTCGCATTTTTGATCGTCTTTTAGTCTCCAAGTAGATGCAAGCCAGGTCGGGTCGGTTGCGGTTCTGCCTCCGTTTGCGAACAAGGCGGGCGGCGGGTCTGGGAGACCCTCAGTTCCCTTTTCAAACGAACACTTTAACCGCTTACCGAAACGGCGAATTCATTCGGTGATTGGAAGAAGCGCTTAGTCACGTGCATGTTGGGCGTTGCAGCATTTCACTGTCATCATGTGGCGAGCATGGAGGCCCAATTCTTGGTTTACACAGATCACAATCCCGCTGACGACCTTTTTGCTTCAATGAAGTGTCCTAACAAAGACTTGACGAGGTGGTCTTTGTCTTCTTCAGGCTTACAACCTTGATGTTAGGCACATTAGGGGGGTCCTGAACAATGTTATTGCTGACGTCGCTGTCACGAGCCCATGGCACTAAGTATGGTTAGGTTCTTACACCTTAAATGTATATATAGTATATGACTGTCCATACTGTGATTAAATCTTTCTTGCTCTGCCCCATTCTTTTTTAAATAGTGCTTCTCAGATACTGGTGTTGCTAAAGGTGGTGGCTGGGCGTTGAAGGAGAGATTGCTGTGTGGAAGGTGGTGTTTTTTTGTTTTGTTTTTTTTTCATTAGGGACCGGGGGAGTGGCCATATGTGGGGTTTGTTTTCCATGCACCTTTGCTTTGTCACAGGGACGGGGTTGGTTTGGATGGTGCCGGTGGCCCTGGGACACCGACTTTAAGGGGGGGGGTGTGACGACCCCTGCTTCACTGCCTATGCTGGTGTGGGTGTGCCTGTGTGTGGGTGTGTGTGCTTCTCTCTCCCTGATTGTATCCAGGTGCAGCCTCTCTCCAGGTGCTCCCAATCTGATCAGCGCCTCTATAAAGGATCTAAGTAGGCTGCAGTGGCTCTCTCTCTGCCCGGGGGAACGTAGGAGGAAGAGCAGCCCGGAACAGCTATCCTCCTGCATAGAGCTTGTTAACCCTGTTTGGTGGTCGGTTGTTTTGGGGAGCGTGAATAAACTCCTCTTTTTTCCATACTCACGTCATCGTCTCATCGCTGCGTTTGTTATGGCTGAGAGCCAAGCCGTGACACATGTCCTGTTTTCCTCTGGGTTATTGTCTGGTCCTTTTCCCTGTGTTTTTCCTCTTGTCATTAGTTTCCCTGGTGTGTCTAGTTATCTGATTGTGTTCACCTGTGGCCCTTGTGTTTCTCCTCCCCTGCCCGGCTGTTTCTCGTCTTGTGATTACCCCTCCCTGTATTTAGTCTTGTCTCTTCCTGTGTTCAGTGTTGGTGCTTCTTTTGTTTGTGACCCAGTTCACCGGTGAGTGTTTTGTTTGTCCAAGTTATGTATTAGATAAGAGCCCTTCAATAAAGGTATTATCAAGTGTTATCTGCGTTTGGGTCCTACCTGCTTCACTCTGCGTATCAGCCAGCTCTGTTGTGATTGGTCGACAGCTTAGATATGTCCTGCCCCTTAGCCTACCATTTACAATGTGTTGGAGCGCTAGCCAATAAAAGCGTGAGTGTTGTGATGTCTATATGTTACAGGAAGGGGGTAGTGAGTGGGAGAGAAACTCCCTCTGGAGGGAACACAGGGATTTTAGCCTCTGCAGACCATTGACATGCACTAAAACCTATAGAACACACTACAGGATAGGGAAAACACAGAAAGCATGAGGGCCTCTTTAATGTGAGATCAACAACGTATTGCTGAATTTTCTCCACGTTTACATTTTAGAAAAGATTTTTAAAAAACACTAGTTTACTCATTAATATTTGAAATAAAACTGAATGCCCAAAAAGATTTAAACGGTTTTAAATGGTTGGATATCAGTCCTGATGCAAGTCTAATAAAACAAATCAATGTGTTACATTGAAATGAGGGATGTGTAGCCCCCCTGTCAAGTTAAACAGTACCACTAACTACAGCTTGCAACATCTTAATTGAACCAAATGTTGTCTGGCACAGTTTGGCCTGCAGTCAATCATTCAGACCACATTCTTTATGTTTGTGTCTTCTTCTTGGAACACAGTAAGACTGAAAATGCACATGCAACATATGACAGATTCCTAATGCTCTAACTGTCCAGATTGAACACACCTTTTTATTTTTTTTATTTTCCAAATACATTGTGGCATAGACAGTTTCATTTCTAAAAACAACATATAACTCATTTTAAGTTGTCCTCTAACTTTACAGTTTATCATTACCTGTTTCCTGCTAAAGGCTCACACTCTTCGGTCGGACCCTCAGAAGGTAAGAACAACTTGACAGTGCAAAACGTTTTTGTACAGTAAACGTGCTAATATTGAGTGGTTTTATTTGAATCATTGACTTTGTGCAAAGCACAGTGAATACGTGTCAGCTGCAGAACATTATGAAAAGATTTTTATCACTCTTCAACTATTTTATTGTGTCCATTGTTGGCATGGGCACGTAAAGTGCTTATAAAACAGATTCACACCCATCTTTTTATGTGATATTGTTTTACAACATTTAGGGTGAATATAAGATTCAGAGATGTAAGCTATTTGACAATTATAAACGACTAACGACTATGATAAACTAAGTTACTGAATGATCAGGTAATTTTCACGAGAAACATCTTTATGAGGTATTAAAGCTGTGAGACTCCTATCTAGTCTATTCTTGTACATTTGGAAATATCTTCTTCACAAAGCAGAACAAGTTATCAGATACTTTTCCAACACATTTGGTTGGTAGGCTCTCTAGATACAAAGGCACTGATTTGTTGTAATGATATTTCCACTATGCATGTAATTGAATGTCACATGTGTGCTTCCAGTGTGGCACAGTTACAGTAGTGTTTACATACAGCCTGTGAACCCATGCAGTTTCACATTTACAGCTGTGCCCATTGACCTCTCCGCACACTGTGGAATAATCCTCGCCTCGGGAACTCCTGATTATCCTTCCCATACGTATCCTGCATGTTGCAAACATTTGAATTCAAAAGAAAATGATGAACAAGCTTTTGTGTCAGAATATACTATACTCTACACTTCGATATGCAGGTATTTAGATTGAACCAATGGTTTCACGTCTGTCAATTTCAAAGTACCTTTTATTTTATGCTACTTTATAATTCTACTTCACTACGTTTTGGAAGCTAATATTGTTCCTTTTGCTCCACTATATTTATTTGACAGCTCATACAAGTTATTTTTTGTATTTAAATGACTAGCTAATACAGAACATAAATCAATTATGAAATAACCTTTGACGTATAATTTAAGATCCAGCATCAGTATATGAAGTAATTAAAATGAGCTCTACATTGACCAGCTGTAAACACATGAATGCATTGATAATCATAATCCATTAAATAAATATATGCGATTCTGAAATGAGCAATTACGCCTAACGAGTACTTCTACTTCTGGTACATTAACTTAATATATTTTGTTTTACAATTTAGTATTGCTACTTTTACAAAAATAATATATCTGAGTCATTCTTGAACCACTGGATTTAACTAGATTTAACATCTGAGACCATTTTCCCATGAAACAATGTCAGAAAATCTTTTAAAATATATTTAGATTGAAGAGGCTAAGCTGGGTCTGTTTTATAGATCCTATGGGAGGAATAGCTTGTGCTTCAGGGTGTGTCGTGTCTCTGGAACAGCATCTTCCCTCTTACTGGCACCGCAGCGTGATGATGCTGCATAGCTGCCCAATAAAGTTTACAGAGGGCAAAGGGCAGTCAAAGTTGGAGCTGTGTTGCAATGACATTTCACATTTCAGAATGATTCTCTTTTTATATGCATGAGCTACTGAACACTGACCCCATAAAAACACTAAGTATTGGTTAATTTTTTATTGAGTTTCAGCTGATTTCCCCTCCCAACTGTATTTGGCTGCAGCGGGGTATAAAGAGCAGAGAGCTCTCGTCACTGAAGCCACCATCTTCTTGGATATTGGAGACGGAGAAACTGAAGAAGTCTTGTGGATTCTAAGAGTTACAAGCTAGTTTTCTATTTTCAGATTGGGAGCCACTGCTTATCTTCTTGTGCTGCCGTGCATTGTCCACAATGTCCGTATTAAAAACTGCAGCGCCCACCGGCTGCGAGCCTCTGGCCGCGGTGTGTTCAGGGGCAAACTGCCTCGTTCCTCTCGATAGCTTCAATGAGAAGCTGAGCCTGGCGATGAGCATCGTGCTCACCGTGATGCTCGCCATGGTCATGTTCTCCATGGGCTGCACTGTGGACGCCTCCAAGCTGTGGGGCCACATCAAGAGACCCTGGGGCATCTTCATCGGCTTCCTCTGCCAGTTTGGCATCATGCCTTTCACAGCCTTCGCCTTATCCACGGCCTTCAACGTGCTGCCTGTGCAGGCCATCGTCATCATCATCATGGGCTGCTGTCCCGGTGGCTCCGGCTCCAACGTCATCTGCTACTGGCTGGATGGAGACATGGACCTGAGGTTTTCATTTCATTATCAAAACGATAAATCGAGACAATAATCAGCAGATTAATTGAACATCTTTTCACACTGCAAAAACTAAAACGTTGAGTTTATTTACATTTGTTATGTCAACTGATAATTGTATTAGTTAGTTGAAAGCAATAATATTAAGTTGAACCTAATCATTTTATTTAAACCGAAAATTATTGCCTTCAAACAACCTAAATCAATCTGTGTAATTTGCTGACATTTAAATCAAGTCAACGTTTCAGAAACTTTACAGTGTACATTGCTACCGTACATTTAGAAATCATTCTCAGGGCCCCTTTATGTGTCCTCAACATACTGTGAACAGTATGGAAGAACGACTGGGCCATCATGGACCCAATGAGCAAATCCCATAGTGAGATATGAGTTGATCATGACTCAACTTATTCCATGCTTATAATCTCCATCCGTTATTAAAGAAACTTGATAGACCCTAACAGCATTCTCCCCTCTTCAGTATCAGTATGACCGCCTGCTCCTCCATCCTGGCCTTGGGGATGATGCCTCTCTGTCTGCTCATATACACCGCCACCTGGACCTCCACAGGAAGCATCCAGATCCCATACGACAGTATTGGTAAGGAAGAAACTCTTAGTTGATTGCTAACCCATGTGCACTGTACAGGTTTATTAATATGATGTTGTGAAATCGTTGTATCCTCAGGTATCACTCTAGTTTCCCTTCTCGTCCCAACCGGTCTGGGAATGCTTGTTAAACGGAAGTGGCCCCAATATGCAAAAAAAATCCTGAAGGTAAGAAATGTGAAATATTGTCTGCTATTTGATTAGGATATTTGTTGTGACTTTCCATTTCTATGTAAGTCTTCATCCAATGAAATGTCATGTACTGCCTGTGTGTCTGCTGTGCACAGGTGGGGTCCTTTGCAGGCTTTGCTCTTATTCTCATCATAGCTGTGGTTGGAGGAATTCTCTACCAGTCCTCCTGGGACATTGATCCATCCTTATGGATTATTGGAACTATCTACCCCTTCATTGGTTTCAGCTTGGGGTTCTTCTTTGCTCGCTTTGCGGGGCAACCCTGGCACAGGTAGGGGGACAGCGATGTTTGCATTTGTTACACAAAGCTTCTGGATTGGGATATAGTCATATTCAGTTGTATTAATCATCTACCCATAGACAAAAACAAATGTACGAGGTCGTTGATCATTGCCTGCTCTCTTCAGGTGTCGAACCATCGGGTTGGAGACGGGTCTTCAGAACTCCCAGCTGTGCAGCACCATCGTCCAGCTGTCCTTCAGCCCTGCTGAGCTGGAGGTCATGTTTTCATTCCCCCTCATCTACAGCATCTTCCAGTTGCTGGTGTCCGTCATATCCGTTGGAGGTGAGAGTTTAGCAGGCAGATACTTACTTACTTAATCAAGGATGGTAACCACACCAGTATTTTCTAGAAAACGGGATGGTCATGGAGTTTTGGTTGGTCTTCTACCACCAAAATAATGAAGGTGAACAAAGCTGTCTGGCTCCTCCATAAGGCAACAACGTTAAACAAAGCCTTTATGGGTTTTACTGGCAGGTTTTACGAGAAAAAATGGCTTTTTGCAGGTTTCAACCACGTCTGAGTTCAGACGTTTTCATGGCTAATCCAACAAACAACAAATCAGCTTGTGTGTGTTGACCTCTGCCTTCATTCATTGCATTGTTCCTGGTTTAAAGAGATCATTTGTGGAACAAAAAAAGGATAATCTATCATTGTCAGGACAAATGTTGGAAAATAAAATCATTCACTGAAGCCCAAAACATTTCAAAGCTTTTTAAAAATAAGCCTCAAGATGACCGCTCATTGTTTCTGAACCCATGTTTTTTCCCTCTTCAGGCTACCAGTTGTATAAGAGGTATCGAAAACCTGGCTCAGATGATGCCGACAGTGAGTCTCCAGCCCTGGAAGCTGGTGAATCAGCAAAAAAGAACATACATGCTGTGGAAAATGGTGGCTTTGAGTTTGACGACATTAGCAAGAGCGGAGAGAAGAATAGCGACGTAAAGAACGCCACCCAGCTGTGAGTTTACAGAACCTGCTAATCCCAGACATTGGACTTTCAGTAAAACCACTCAGGGCCATAGACCCTCTGAAGACATCGGAACTCCACACTGTGAGCACACAGTGAACTCTGCAGGCCGGAGGTGTGCACTACACGTGCCGTTCTGTTCGACTTTGGAAAATACTTCACAAGAACACGGGTTCCCAAACGTCTTCCCTAGTATGACAAATAACTGACTCTCACACTGTATCATATTATGTCTTGTATTGAGATGCCTTCCTTTACATTAATTTATTCATATATTAACATGTGCAACCACTTACATTCTTTGGAACGCATGTTATGTGCATGTTTCTTGATCAATTGTAGATATTTAGCTACAGTCGTGTTTTTGAATGATGGAATTAAATGTGTGTCACATTCATAATTGATCTGATAAGACACATTATTGTGTCAAGATGAGGAGAATTATGAACACTGCTGAGAGACAACCTTTCCACGTCCTAAAACCTACTAAAAGAGCCTACTGCTTTTTTGTTTGAAAGATAGTTATGTATGTTTTTTTAATACTTGATTCTGATAGCTGGTGAAATCAGTGGTAACTACAAACCATGTTTGGAACTGGGGCCCCAACGCAAACTCCTGTTACGTTTTCATTTCTAAATAGAAGTACAGTAGGGGTAATGGGGCACAGCAGAATTTTGAATTTTGAAACATGTAAGCTCTAAGTCATTTTTATGGTTTAACATATCCTTCCAAGATTGAACAACAGGAGTATACTGGAATGCTGATATCATTCTGAGACATATTTGCTAATTTATGAGTCCTCTGTATAAATGTGCAATGAGAAAAAACTATGAATACACATTTCCATGGATGTAAAATAATAATATATCAATAATATAGTATTTTGTATTTCCTATTTACCACTATGTTGGGAAATACGGCTTCGGAAATGATGTTTATTTTTCATTAAAAAAAAGAAAAAAACATGTTTGCTGTAATAATTAATGGTTTGATGTGAATGTGAGTTTTGTTAACCAAATCAATAAACATATTAATGTGTTAATTTAGCCCCAATGTTGTGTATTTACTAGAAGTGAACATTTTGAGGATATAAGCATTTCTTTAAAATGTTGTAATTAAAATAAACCAAAGTTCAAACGTCAATGACCTCTATGCCATTTAGACAAACTGGCTCTTTAAAAGTATTTTAATGTAATGTAGTAAAATGTAAAAATGTACAGGGCACATGTGCAAGGTCTTAAACATAACTCTCCAACCATAAAATAATCCAATTAAAATGTTGTTTAAAGTTGTTCAAAGTCCAAGCTGTGACAGCAAAAGCTTTCTCAGTCTCAGATCTCAGTGCTGTCATGTGACTCCAGACGTGCTGCTCACCTGTGTGACTGTACTGACTCTGGACTGACTCCAGCTGAGCAACAGATGCTCCTCAGTGATCCATCTTCACAGGCTCCCCCCCCTCAGTGCAGCTGCCTTCACTTACTGATGGAAATACTCGGGATTCTCACAATTCCACATGACAAAGATTGCAAAAAATGACATATCTTCCCAATTTCACAATACCGGCGGTGGAAGAAGTATTCAGATTATTTACCTAAGAAAAAGTAGCATTACTACAGTATAAAAATACGTTGTTTCAAGTAGATATTCTGCATTAAAAAGTGTACTTTTTAGTGCCGAGAGATAGGGAGTCGGAGGCGGTGGAGCTGGCTTTAATGAGCAGCAGAAATGCAGATTTTGTCGAGTCGCAGCCCGGGAAGACAAGAGGAAGAAGCCAGGAGGGCACACAAGCTGTGTCCCAATTCAGAGGCTGGGTCCTCCTGAGGACCCAGCTTGGGTCCTCCGCGGACTGCGAAATGAGACGGTCTACGGAGCATGTCCTTGTACGTCACCGGCAGTTACCCCTACATTTTGCCGTCCCCTTCACCTAGCAACCAGCTGCAGTCACAAGTGCCGGTAATAATTTCTGACACTAGGCAAAATATTTTCAAACTGTTTTCAAACTGTTTTCAAAACTGTTCAATATGGAGTCAGATCTAGCTGTACTTATTTTGGTGTTATGTTTAAATTATTTTCCCGAGGTCGTAACAGGCCCCCGTGAAGAAGGCTTCTCCCCGCGCATCTGGATAAATTGCTCAGTCTGCTCCGTACTCCCTATCAAAACAAAATTGTTGCAGTAAGATTTGTATAACAAAAGCAGTTAAATAAATAAATTAGCTTTATAATGAATCCCAACAATATGAAAACCAAACAGGGTTTAGAAATATTTTCACTTAATATTATTTTATGTATGTAATATAAAGAAGACATCTCCAATTGCCCGTATATTTAAATACACAAATTAAATAGGTTTACTTTTCTTTCATGTCGTTTACTATTTGGGTGAGTACATTTAAAAACGAATCCAGCTGAAACCGTTGTAGCCGTTGATGGCTACGTTACAAGCCATATATTTTTTTAAAACTCCTTCGTCACCGTCACATCCTGGGATATGGTAGACCGCGGAGTGTACCTCAGATTTATCCTCTAAATCTGGGGAAAGAAGGCTGCATTTGCGGGCCGCATTCGGAGGAGTCTTGTCTTTTTTTTGAATTGGGACAGCCTTCATTTGGCGGAAGTGACGTATGCGTACTCCGAATGCATCCTCAGGAGGATGCGGCCGCTGAATTGGGACACAGCTAATATATATACGTAGAGTGGCGAAGTCCCTCTCTTTCGGGGGAGCTCCATGGGACCTTATTTCTAAAAAATTATGTATTGAAGTCAATGGAGAGAGAAAGATTATCTTTCGATCCCGTTTGAATTGTGCCACGAATTACACATATGATGTTGGTAAATTTAAAAGATAATTTTGCAAGTCAAAAAAATAAAAACGTGTCATAAAACTGTGAAGTAACACATTTGTTTGTGTGAAACGCTTAATGAACTACAACTCTGGTCTCGCAGACTCTCACAACAACACACGTCACCAAGATGGCCGTCACTACTGTTGTCAATAAAACTATTGATTACCCTCACTATCATCACAATGAAACACGTCCAGAAGAATGTCATGCAAAGCTGCCTGCCTGCCTTCCTTTGATTCTCTCTGAACTGCCTGGTCTTTTTAATGTTAATGTCAACCATTTGTAGCAGATAGCATGAAGTAGAAAAGATCGGCGATCGACCGATGCTACCGTTAGCATTTCTCCCCCGGGCTTAAATGGTGTATTATAGAATGATCACACCGGTGTGACAGTACTCTTCAAAGGGTTCACGAAATATGACTACTACTCTTACTGTTTAACATTTTGGGTTACTTAATGTTACTTCATATTAAGGCTAATAAAAATGACATGGCTGTAATGCTAACTAACGAGCTAGCTACTAGCTAGGTAGCTAACTTGATTCAGCCACTCCTGGTCCTTTCATCAGACGGAAAGCGAAAGAACGAGCAAGACCCATTGCTGGTATGATAACAACCTGGTACTAAGCACACAGGCATCTTGTTAAAGTTGTCTTATCTTAGCCAGCGCCATCTTAGCTATCTCTTAGTGGAGGAAAACAATTGTGTGACATCACTTACGCGATTCTGGGATTTGTAGTCTTTCTAGTTGTGTATATTTCATAGTCTAAATATTTCAACAGTTTTACGACAAACTGTGACTTTTTTGACATGGAAATTATTTTTTAAGATTGACAAACATCTATAATTCATGGCACAATTCAAACGGGATCGAAAAATAAGTTTTCTCTCTCCATTGACTTCAATACATTATTTTTTCGAAATAAGGTCCCATATGGACCGGAAGTAGATGGGCGTGACTTCGCCACTCTATAGAGAGCAACACATATGCCCGTGCGGAAACAATACCCACAACCCGTAGTTCCATGAGTGAATTATTTAGTAAATTATTGATCACTACAACTTAAAGGTGGGGTAGTTAAGTTTGAGAAACCGGCTCGAGATACATTTTTTGTTATATTATATTGCATTTGGTAAAGATAGGGTGAATTTGAGATACTCTTTTTGCTGTACTATTGAAGATCTTAACAGATAATAATTTATAGTGTATTAGTTGATTTAGATTTTTAATTAATAACCACAATCAGCAAAGTCACTAAAGCTGTCAGATCAATTTACTGAGGTAATAAGTATACTTGCCTACAAAATGTAATGGAATAAAAGTATAAGTAGTAGGCTATAATGTGAACATACTCAAGTAAAGAACAAATACCTCAATGTTGTATATTATCTGTAATATAAATGTCATTGTATTGCTGTCACATTTATTTTCTTATTTTAGGAGATTTCTTTTGGGTGACTTCAAGTTGTTATTTTCAAGACTTTTTAATTGAGATTGTGAGGATTACGAGCAGACCCTGAATGCAGCAAATGTACGTTTACAGGGAGACAGAAATCAGACGTAGAGGAGCAGTTTGGATATCTGGTAAGTAACAAAATCCTCTTTACAGTTAGTGTATGCATACACGGAATGCCTGTCACACTATTTTACAAGTATACAATGTAATACGGATTGTACATTACGATGTCCCATCTTTTTTTAGCATCGGATACCATCTGCTACCCGCAAAGAAGCTCTAAAAATGTTCACCTCCTTATTTCCTCTTCTTCAACTTTACCGTTATTAACGCTGACAATGGTCAGGAGTTAGGACAATACTGGGACAGACGTGACTATACAGTAAGTTAAAACGAACATTATTTTGTATCAAGTAAGCTTCTAAATATAGGTAGTTGGTGGTGTTCCCCTGGTAACTGAGCCCTAAATGAACGGCTCTCATTCCTCTCAGTGCTTGTTCTGCGGTTGCCTAACGTTAGTGACGTTAACAGCTAGCGAAGCGTCGTACACACATATCGGTAGCATGTTAACACACTGGGTGTGGATAATAATTCAGATGGCATGGTTCATCTAAAAAGTCAATAAACCCACTTCAGGTCATTTTACGTTAGCTAAGATAGAAGTTTGTTACACGCCGACCCAACTTCGTCAATGTCCGCCCCCTGAACTAATGCAAGAATACTAAAAGGGACCATCAACGTATGTACGCTTTAAAGTGAACACAGTCAGCTAACCAGTTAGCCTATAACGCTGCTACTTCTTTGAATACCTTGGATGTTTACTTAAGTTAATACAATTAAAAAAAATAACATAAGCCTCTTTATTTAATATGATAATGTGCCTATTTTATTTTCCTATCTTGTATGCACTTTCCCATTTGTTGAAATATGAAATAAGCAAATGGTAAAGACTATTTTGTCTGTGTGAAATAAATACTTGTCTTGAAAGGTAGGCCTGTTGTATACCCTAAGAGTATCAAGTGAAATTACAATAAACTCATAAATACATATTCGATAGTAGAAATATATTACAAGTAAATAGCCTAGTAATAATAATATTAGAATTATAATATTATAAATGGCAATATAATGCATTCTAATAAAACGACAAAAAAATACATCCTCAGAAATGGGGTTAAACATTTGAAAGGATGTTTTGTATGTATTTATTTTATTTAAATGATTAATGGTCTTAATATATTTATAAATTCCAACCTCAATTCACACAGTTATACTGAAGATAACAATACAGAATCAATAGAACATTATAATAATGTATTTGAATGCTAGTCACTCTTCCAATGACCGAGGGCAATGTATATTTGATATTCTTAATTTGTTCCTTTCTTATCTCACCAGCTTTTATTTTCAATGGGTTATAAACACATTGCTTCACAGTTATGTGAATTTTTGCCTTCTGTTTTGTTTATTTAACTGACCACATTGATCTTTACACAATTAACACTCGGGTGTTTGAACAAGGCACAGCGAGGTGTTTGGTCATGAC